CTGCCTTCGGCTCAGGTCATGATCCCAGGGTCCTGGGATCGAGCCCCGCATCGGGCTCCCTGCTCAGCGGGAAGCCTGCTTCTCCCTCTCCCACTCCCCTTGCTTGTGTTCCCTCTCTCTCTGTGTCCCTCTCTCAAATAAAGAAATAAAAATCTTTAAAAAAAAAATACAGATGCCTGAACTTCACTGGTGGGAGGCCTTAATTCAAGAAGTCAGGAGAGGCCAAACGTGGGCATTTTTTTAAAGCTCCCAGGGTGATTCTAAGCTGCAGCCAGTTTGAGAACAACTGACCTAGCCAAATCAACTATTTTTCAGACTGCAGGACAAATCCCACCCCATTAGGGGATTCTGATGTAAAGTAAGGCCCCATAAAACCTGCTTTCATGAGCAAATGTGATCTAAGTTCAAATCCATTTTTACCGCATCGTATCCCATTCCATTTTATGACTCTGTGTGTGCGAGGTAGGAAGAGTCATTACCGTACCTGTCACTTTTACTAGCTAAGTCATGCTCATCTCCATTTATCCTTGACTCCGGAGAAAAGACTGGTTATGTCAGTTACATATTATTTCCAAGGGACCTCCTGTCAGGGCAGATCTACAGGTTTTCCAGACCCTGTAAATATAAGCGGAGCGTTTTCAGTTCCTTGATGTTTTCTACATTAACAATTTAGGCTCTTTCTTTGGCAAATGAAAGCAGCCCCTCTGCTTGGTGAAGGGCTATGAGCAATACTATGTTTGAATCAACCGTCCTTAATCAAGTCACAGAGCCTTGTGCCCCCCAGAACCAAGATCCTTTCCATAATGGCGCAGCTGAGGAGCCCATCCAGGAAAAGGGCTACCTCGTTATCTGGCATTAATGCCAATTATGGCGTCTGAACCAGAACTTTATACAGTAATTAGAACAGTGCTAACATAGTGAGCAGTGGAATTGGTCTGCATTCACTCCTTGCATTGGTTATTCTCTGCTATGCTCTCCTCCCCTCCCTCAATTCATTCTCTGCCCTGTTTTTCCCTATGGTGGGGAGACTGACTCATGTGGACCATATCCCCAGCTCTTTTGCTCTCTGGCTTCTGGTTGAGTTTGTCCAGTGGAAGGTATTGGCAGGAGATCAAAGGATAGAGGAGACAGAAGTTGGGTTATTTCCTTCCCACCCACCCCCCCTTTTTGGGTAATATGGCAGGTCAGTGGCTGCACGGCTCTACCCCCGACTGACTGTGGGAGCCCCCTCCTGTGCAGCCCCCTACTATGTGAATCTCCCTTCTGTGCAAGCCCCCCTCCGGTAGGAGCTCCCTTCTGTGTGGGAGCCCCTTCCTATGGGAGTCCCCCTCCTGTGGGAACCCCCTTCTGTGGGAACCCCCTATCATGTAAGCCCCCTTCTGTGCAAGCCCCCCTTCTGTGGGGGCCCTTTTCTTATGGAAGCCCCCCTCTTGTGGAGAACCCCACTCCAGCTCTCATCAGACACCAGTAACCTCAGTGCCTTCTTTGGGTCCCTTCAGCCCTGGGGAGGTAACAGCTTCCCACCACTGCCAGCTGCTGGGAAAAATCCCTTATTAATCAAATTTTCTTTAAAATCCCAGTGACTATGTCTTCCACTTCCTGCTGGGTTCTGATGGCTGGGATACCTTCTAGACTAACTATAATCGGAATTCATTTTTCACTTTTCAATCATTCACATAGAAGTCCTGTAGGTATAACTTGTGTTCCTCAAAGATCTTAACTTTAAGAGAACTTCTAAGTTGCAGGGTACTTTAAAGCCTTTTTTTTTTTTTTTCTATCCAAGCCTTCATGACATCTGGATGTCTTTGAAATACTCCAAGACTAATGAGTTGGGTGCCTCAGTTTCCTGTTGTGTAAAACAGAGGGGCTGCACAAAATGGTCTCCAAGACCCTCCTCCTCCAGGAGCTGCTCCTGCCACCCTCTGAGTCAAATTAGCCCCGGGAGGAAGGAGCCGGCCAGAGGTAAGGGCGGGAAGAGGGGGGATGTGAGATACCCACACGTCTCGGTGTATTTGAGATGCATGTTCCTCAGGGTGAATGTGATACAGTCTGTTCCATTTGAAAGTTAGCCATCTGCTGTTCACTGCGTGGTGTGTCCCCTGCCGAGCCCTTCATGGGCCGAGCTTTAGAGCTGGGGAGTGAACCGCAGGGTGACCTGGGCCTCGGACAGGGCAGCTGCTCAGGGAGGAGAGGCATCCAAACAGTGGCATCCCACCCTGGGGGCTTGCTCACATGCAGACTGAGGTGCCACCTGCAGGGTCCCTGATCCAGCAGTGCTGGGCGGGCCTGAGCAGGGGTGCTTCTCATCAGTCTCCTGGTGCTGCTGATGCTGCTGGTCCCTGAGGGCCATATTTTGAGAACCACTGGTCTCATCAACCACTTAGAATGCAGCATGTTAAATTATCATGAAGATTAAGTGCAAAGCTCGGGGGCTGTTTTGGGATGGGAGCGATTCTTGAGAGTGTGTGAAGGAGGGTGAGCCCCAGGGGGTTTTACCAGAGAGGCTGTGCTGAATGCTAGAGGATGGACAGGAGCTGATAGATCACAGGAGGGGAAGGCCCTTCAGACACGGGTGTAGGGGGAGGGGAAGCGAGGGGACAGGAACATATATGGAGGGCAGGCTGGTGAGGGAGAGCAGCGGTGGGAGACAGGCTGGGAGAGGTGGGGCTGGGCTGTAATGGGAGTTTCCATTTGTTTTTGTTTGTTTGTTTTTTAAAGATTTTATTTATTTATTTGACAGAGAGAGACACAGCGAGAGACGGAACACAAGCAGGGGGAGTGGGAGAGGGACAAGCAGGCTTCCCTCTGAGCAGGGAGCCCGATGCGGGGCTCGATCCCAGGACCCTGGGATCATGACCTGAGCCAAAGGCAGATGCCCAACGACTGAGCCACCCAGGCATCACATTTCTGAGTGTCCCTCACCACCGTTACCCCAGGCTTTGCTGCAGCAGCTGGCCTCCTGACAGGACCGCCCGTTAGCAGCTGTCCTCACCATGCACCATGCACCTCTCGCTTTCTGTCTGGGGCTTCTCTGACAGGACTGTCTGGGATGCCTGTGGGCACCCACCTGGCTCTCCACATGCACAGCCTGGTGTCTGAGGGACTTAACAGCTCACAAGCACCCCTCAGCCAATAGAGGACAGGAGGCAGGAGGTGGTAGATAAAGTGCCCCCTCCTCAAGTCCTCTTAGGAGCAATTCTACATGGCTTCTCAGAAGATGCTCAACTCAGTAACATCCATTTCTACTGGCTTCTCTTCTCATCGGTTTCATTCCTTGATCTCTCCTTCCTGCTCATTAGAATGCCTCCCCAATGGGCGCCTGGGTGGCTCAGTCGGTTAAGCGACTGCCTTTGGCTCAGGTCATGATCCTGGAATCCCGGGGTCGAGTCCCACATCGGGCTCCCTGCTCAGCAGGGAGTCTGCTTCTCCCTCTGATCCTCTACCCTCTCATGCTCTCTGTCTCTCATTCTCTCTCTCGCAAATAAATAAAATCTCAAAAAAAAAAAAAAAAGAATGCCTCCCCAAATTACCAATGTACCAAACCCTTATCTCAGGCTCTGCTTCCAGAGGAGCCCAGGCTCAGACAAGCTACAAATGTCCTGCTGAGGAATTTGGACTTTGTCCTGCAGACAAAGCCAATCACGTTTCTAAGATGAAAACAACAAAAGCAAGAGCAACACTCTGATGAACAAAAAGTCACCAAGGGCTACCAACACTTAGGTACCATTGTGAGACTGGAGGGGAGAACCATTCAGTCTCAGCTCAACTGACTTGTGAGGCTTCTGTCAGTCAGCGAGGCCTGGAGATCTGTTCCCTGGTGTGGCTACGCCCTCCGGCTCCAGGGTAGTGGAGGGAAATGTAATGTCATTGCTGGGCAAAGCTCTCTGGCAGGCTAGCTGGTTCTTAGGGTCGAAACAGCAAAATAAACAATGAGAGGATCCCCCTGGATGTGAAGAAGAGAATTATTTCAAAAAGGGAAAAAAAAAGGTGGACTGGGGTTGGAGAGAGAGTGTTCCTGTCTGAAACAGCTCATCTGCAGAGGAGGACGTCCTAACCAGACTCAGAGCCCTTCAATCAGGGAGAGGTCACTCTTCCTGGTTTCACAGGAAGACAAGCAGAAGCCAGAGGGCTTCCCTGCTGCCCTAGGAAAGCAAGAGGAGTCAGGGAGTTGGTCTTCACAGCTTGAGAAAGCAGAGGTGGGGTGGGGGGAAAGGCATGGAACATGGGGGCAGGGCTGGGCAGGATCCCAGGGGAGCAGTGCTAGTGAGGAAGCAACAGCCAACCCATTTCCAGGGCAGTCACATCAAAGTCTGTATGTGGTGATTTTGGTCCTTTACCCTCTTCTGGCCACAACCTTAAAGGCTGCTACACACAGACTCTTTGTTAGGCATCCAAGGGAGAGATGAAGGGAAAAGGGAGCTCTCAGGATAGGGAAGGGGACCCGTGCAAAGGGGTGGGAAAAACGGTCTGGGTCCAGAGGCTGGAACTGCTTGCTCCGTGTGTGTGTGTGTGTGTGTG